TCAGCTCTTTATTAACCAATGAGAGTGATACATACTTAGTGTGTACAAAGATTGTTACACACTACTCTTTGAAGTTTAAAAGTTCAAAGCCTCTCTTTTGATACCCAAAATAGCTCTAAAATTCTGAAGACTTATAACTATGGGCTCCTGGAAAATTAAAAATAGGAGTTACATTCTTCTCATTTCAGAAAGGAAGAGTCAGGACACAGAATCAGATCAAGGTAAAACTAAAGTCTAACAATATAAAGCTCAGTGTCAGACTTCTGGGACTCATGCTCTTCTGGGCTCCAAAGGACCTAGGTAGCTCCACTTCTCTGGCTCTGCCATCCACAGGATGTGCAACTTGTCTTGAAGGTTCAGGATGGCTCTTCTCCACACCAGATGCTGTCCTTGGAGGTCATCTCATGGTAATGGCATCTCCACAGTGCTAGGGTCTCTGCTATACCTGGGCTACACCTTCACCTGTAGCCTCTCCTGGGCTCTTTTCAGGAACTCTGACCCTACCATATGCTACCAAGCCTTGGCTTCTCTTCATGACCTTTTCAATCCTTAGGATTTCAATGCAATTGAGGCTACACCTTCATCTGGCCCCTCAAAGTGACAAGCCTCAAATTCTCTTCATGATTCCTTCATTTCTTCAAAACCAGTACCACCTAGGATACTCTTACATATTACCAGGTTGGGATGCCAGCAAAAATACAGCCTTCTTCAGTTCCTGCCTACAGATTCCTGCCTTGAATCTGAACTACAACTTCTGTCTGTTGACCCAAGGAAACACTTACCAGAAGATATTTGCCTTAGTGATACCAGTCTCTTCTTAATCACAGCCAGTGTTCCAACCTGAGATGACCAGAACTACAGATTCTTAATTCAAAATATTAAACATTCTTTAAGGCATTCTCAAATTTCCCTCTGAAACTTCACAAGCTAGGCCTCCACTGTCTAAACTGCTCTCAGCATGACCATCCAAGTTCCCACAACACCTCATTAAGCTCTGAACACTCAATAGCTCTTCTAGCCCAAAGTTCCAAAGCTCTTCCCAAGCCTCCCCAAAACTTGGTCACATCTGTCATAGCAGTCTCATGAACCAATTTCTTTTTTAGTTGAGGTTTCCATTGCAGTGATGAAACACTATGACCAAAAGCAGCTTGTGAAGGTAGAGGTTTATTTCATCTTACACTTCCAAGCTGGGTGGTGGTGACACATGCCTTTAATCCCCCAGTACTCAGGAGGCAGAGGCAGGAAGATTCATGAGTTCGAGGCCAGACTGGTCTACAGAGCTAGTTCCAGGACAGCCAGGGCTACACTGAGAAACCCTATTAAGAAAAGCAAACAAACAAACAAACAAATCTAAATCTCATCTTACACTTCCAGGCAATAGTTATCACTGCATAAAGTCAGGGAAACATTTTCCCAGTGCTCAGGTCTCTCTCTTCCCAATGACTCTAGCTTGTGTCTAGTTGACATAAAATTTACCAGGACAGATCCTCTCTGATCATATGTGTTTATGTGAAAAAAAAGTTCCTTAATATCAGGGTACACATAAGCCCCAACGCCAAAAAACAAACAAATAAACCCCATAAAACAGTGGTGGTAGTACTAAAGGGGGCAGGAATATCTAGAATGTACAGTTGTTTGAAGGTTTCCATTATTTGAAAGACTGAATATTTAAGAGAACATTGTCTGTTTTATCAGGATTTACATGGACAACAACATTCAAAAAGTAGGATCATTTTGATGCAAATACTTCCTGACTCTAGAGTTTTCCCTGTAGGCAAAATCACAGCCACTTATGTGATCATATTATACATTATAACTTCTCAGAATGCAAAGGGATAAGAAAAAGGGGACACATCTTTCTCCAGAGTCTAGCCAGATGAATGCAATCCTCACCCCCATCAAAAAATTTCTCTTTGCAGCAGAAGGACCATTAAAGAAAATCACAACTTGTCAAAATGCCGAGTTGTGAGCCCAGTTCAAACTGATAGGTCTACAACACGATTCTGGCACCAAAGACTTAGGGATCATTGTGTAAGAGGTGGTAGAAAGAGTGTAAGAGCCAGAGGAACAGGAAGTTTGTTGTGAGACTGTGTCTCCAAGAAATGTCAAGCTACACCCAAGAGTCTCACCAACATGAATGCTTAAGCATGCTCGTACAAGGGCAACAACAATAGACATGCTAACATGGATGATGGGAGGCTCATGGGGCCTCAGCCCTACAAAAAGAAGTACAAGCAACTAAGAAATGTTGAAACCTGGAAAATTGTCTCCCCTAGGGAAGCACATTATCCTACCAGTAGTCAACCCTGAAAACATACATATGTGCGTGCGTGCGTGTGTGTGTGTGTGTGTGTGTGTGTGTGTGTGTGTGTGTGTATACATGCACATACACAAACACATATATATATATACAAATACTATATATGCTATACTATTGTATACTATTTGTACACACACATACGCATATATATATATACACAATACTATATATATATATATATACATATATATATATATATATATATACACACACACAAATACAAATACAAAAACTATACATTCTGGACAAGTTGTATTTATGTGTTTAAGAACACAAACACACAACAACAACAAAAACAATTAAAGAAAGGTCATAAATTTGAAAGGAGTATACATGGAAGGCTTTAAAAGGAGGAAATTATGTAATTATATTATAATCTCAAAAAAAGTTATTTTTAAAAAAGAAAGAAAGGGGATTTGTATTTTTTTAAAGAAATATTTGGGCTGAGGAAGAAGTACAAGCAGATAAAAGACAAGACGATGACAAAGTTTAAACCAGAGCAAGAAAAGAGGCTTCGATGTGGTCATCTTATATAAGTTGTGTTTCTGTGTTTGTTTGTTTGCTTGGTTGGTTGGTATTTGTTTTTGTTTGGTTTGGTTGGTTGGTTTACTTTGGTTTGGTTTGGCTTTTCAAGATAGGGTTTCTCCATGTAGCTCTGGCTGTCCTGGAACTTGCTTTGTAGACCAGGCTAACCTTGAACTCACAGAAATCCTCCTGCCTCTGCCTCTGCCTCCCAAGCGCCACCACTGCCCAGCTACAAGTCTTGTTTTAAAAATTGCTGCCAGAGACCTAGGTTCTGCATGGTTTTATTTGCTGAGATCCCATTATCAAAATTTTAAAAAAGAATTGTTCTCTTTACATTTTGTCTTTACACTAACATGCATATACGCTATTATATTTTGTTCTTTCTACACATAGAAATTGCCTTCTGTTCTTCTAGCGGATATTAAGACCAAACTTACCTCAGTACAGCATTAGCTCTTTAACACTTTTAGCATCTTGAGACTGAAAGTTCTCAGTTGTCTATAGAATTGTGATTCCCTTTGCTTCCAAACATCTCCTATGCATACCCCCATTATTGTGGGCATTCAGATAAGCTCTAGTATTAGCCAGAGTTCTGCACGGTAAGTAATCATCAATAAGACACAGTCATTTAAAATCTAGCACTTGTCAAAGAATTCCCAAACCCTGCTTTATGAATGTCAGAAGAGCTGTAGCCAGAGGCGACTCCTCTCACTTACTCAGGAACATTCACTCTTGATCATCTGAGTATTTACTCTTCATGTGAAATGAGAAAGTGAAAATATTCTAGTCCCACTTGTAGACCAAAGTACTTGGGTGTGCCTGTAGGGCCGGGCTGGCTGGGCGTGGAGGACCTGTGGGTCTGAAGGACTTTTATAGGAACTAATGACTTAGGTGTGAGAAATCCTTTGTTTCCTTAACTAATTATACATGCTACTTGCAAGCAAGATCTTCCTAGGGGTGTCAGAGTGAAATGACACACAGGTGCTTCTCAAGCTTTGCTGGCTAATTCAATGTTAGTATTCAGGTCCACTCATCTACGAGGGAGAACAGATGGAGTCCAATTTTTTTAATCAAGAAATTCTTAGTAAATGAAGCTTAAAATTTTTAGAAGGGCTAAATATTGAACATCTGTTAATGTAAATAACTATCTAGTGAAATGTGTTTGATGTTCCCTTGTTAGAGGAAAAAAAAATCGTATACTGTCAGCTACTATATTTAATCTCAGAAAATCTTTCTGAGAAAGGAAAGGAAAATACAGGATTACTTAAAATAATTTAGCTCTTTCACAAATAATTTTTAACAAATCCACAACTTATTTATGTGATGTATTTTCAAGTTAATATCCTTGAAACTTTACAGATTAAAATTCCAAAGATTTTTAAATTATCAGTTACTTTATCATTGGTGAATACTCTTCATATACATGCTTTTTGTTACATATAGAGGGAAGGAAGAAATATTTTCAAGTACAAACATATAATTATTGATTATAAGATATTGAACTATGTAACTTTGTACAACTGTAATTGTACTATAATATGTTGAAAATATAGCTGGGGGTTGTGGTACAATACCTCAAATTCCACCCTTGGAAGACTGAGGCAGGACAATGGCAATTTTAAATCCAGCCAGCACAATATAACAAGCTTAAGGCCAGCTTTCATGTACTGAAACCATAAATAAAAATAAATAAGTAAAATAATATATTATTTCTGCATCTTTTTTGTCAGAATTTACATACAATCTTTACTCATATTAAACAAAATTGTCTAAAATAAGATGAATACATTGGTAAGTAGTATGGTTTTTAATGTTATTTGTAAACTAACATTGAAAAGAAATTAGTTTCCATTTAGAGTATATAAGAAAAAGAAATTTTTAATCAAATCTAATTCTATAATAAGTATATGTAAAGTTGGTCATTGTAGCTTGCAATTTAGTTAGGATTATCATGGTTGAATTTTGAAATTATTTTAGATGATACCTTATAAATGGAAGAAACAGCAATTTCTACTGTTATTCTTTCTAATGTGTTTGGTTTTTTTTCTTTTTATTTACTCAGATGATATTGGAGCAATTCCAATAAAGCACTTTCCAAAACATGTTGCAGACTTACATGCAAGTAATGGGTTCACTGAGGAATTTGAGGTATGATTTCAATGTGTCTGTTTTAATAATATCAAATGTAGTAAATTTCAAAGATTAAGCAGGAAGCTACTTCATGATGTAAAGACATTGAAAATGCATTTCTAGAAAAAATATGATATTGGTTCCATAATTGCATATGTGCTTAGGAAGTGTGTTTTAGTTACTAAATAACTTAGAAAATTGGCTTTCTGTTTTAAAAGCAAGCGTGGCTAGTAGAAGAAACAAACATAAATGTGAATCCTTTCCCACTAAGTACAGGTTGCTAACATCCTTTTCTTAATACCTAAATTAGTAACAATGATTCATTTTCATTTTCAAAATTACATAAATCATACTAAACTAAACTTGATGATTCTTAGCAAAACTGAATACAAATCCTTAACTGTAAGTATGACATCTACATCAACACAAACTCAGAAACATTGCAAATAAAATCACATCCACTTTCCAAGAAAACATATTTCTAAAATCATTCAAACTTTGTAATCAATGAAAACATTTCTAGTGGCACTGTTAAGTACTTTTAGAAGAGGTGAAGAAATTTTTTTTTTTTTTTTTTTTTTTTTTTTTTTGGTTTTTCGAGACAGGGTTTCTCTGTGTAGCTTTGCGCCTTTCCTGGAACTCGCTTTGGAGACCAGGCTGGCCTCGAACTCACAGAGATCCGCCTGGCTCTGCCTCCCGAGTGCTGGGATTAAAGGCGTGCGCCACCACCGCCCGGCCGAGGTGAAGAAATTTACTGCAAGTGTATCAGGCCCACTGACCTATCTCTTAAGCATACTTCTCAAAATAAGGAGTCATTCATGAGTCCCTGGTTAAACAAGAAGGACCACACATACTAGGAGTTGCCATTTCTGAGGGTTACAGGTTTCTAACCAGGGCCTTCATAGTCAACCTTCATTCAACTCTAGGAGTTGTGTTTTATTATATGGGCTCATACAATTGATTCAATCAAACTTTGTAGACATCAACAACTGATAAATAGCAAAGCTGGAATTCAAACCCAAGTTTGTGGTATGAAATCTCATATCCTTTCCAATAACCTTAGCATCAAGTAAGCAGTTGTGAGCCCCCACTCCTAGGCACCCTGTCACCCCAGTTAAGAAGCACCACACTCTATATTGCCTTTATATCTCTTCCTCACTCACCACCTCCCCAACACTCCTTAGAACTCTCTCTTTAAAGGTATGGAGCTCTGGCCCTGATAACAGGATTGGTTGTCCTTTGATCTGCTCTCTGCATACCTAACAACTTCTCACACCCAACAAGACTTCCCAGGAGTCCTGCCAGTCAAGACATAGTTAGGGAAGGGAACGAAGACAGATTAGAAAGCTTTCAAAAGAATGGAAGTGAAATGTGGTATAGGATAAAGAGTCTCATGTTTAAAGCGTCAGATTTGCTTTCTCACTATGCGAGGTTACTGGGAGTATAGTATTGCTTCCATGTTAAATGTGATGTTTAAGTCACCTGCTCCATCCACTGGCAGAAACCATCAGGTTACCATCATATAGAGCTTTAACTCATCAGGGAAAAATGGGCAAAAGATGGTTCTGACTTTCCACATGTACAAAAGCAAACCCTAAGCAAAAAATAAATGATTTATAGTTAAAGTTGGTGACAGCGTTTGTCTAAAGGCTAGTTGTTGATTCACACCTGTCAAGCCATCCTGAAATTATTCAATAGTCCATAATAATTTAATATAATAACCATACTTGTACTCAAACTTTTCTCTTAATCCCATTGCTTTTCACTCGGTCTGATTTAAGAAAACTTTTAACTAACTTAATAGTTAGCTTAATAACCAATAATGCTATGCCTTTTAAGTGGTTCTTATATTAGGTCATTTTTAGTCATTCAGAATGTCTGAATGGCCTTTAGGTACTTTTATAGTGGGGGTTAGATTCATATTTGGGTTATATTTTCTCAACAATTAGAAGACTTTCATTTTATTATCTCAGTTCTATATATTTATAAATTCTAAACTGATGTGTTTAGATAGGAAATAATTCTGGAAAAATCTTTAATCCATTTTAATAGAAAGGTAGCCAAACTTTATCTGTGCCTATTGAAGTTTTTTTAAAACTGCTCTACTAGTTAAATCTATACAAAGCTTTTCAAAGTTTTGTTTCAAAATGACAGTGTCTGTGATTTAAACTCTTCTGGGATTATTTAATGTTTTGACAACCCTAAATCTTTTATAAACCACCTAATAGGAAGCTATTTATTCCATAAAATAACTCAAAAAATTTATCACTAATTCAGAGTTTCAAATAGTGCTATTGAGGTCAATTCAAACTATATTTGTACATTAGCAAATCCAATTATTATGACAAAATGGGCTATGGGATATATTGTTGTTATTTGCATTCTCAATACTCATCATATTACACCCACATCCCCATTTAAACATGTTGTTTTTTTCATTTGCATAATTAGATTCCAAATTATTAGGCATTTTGATTTACATGCAACTGTTTGAAACATTCTGTTGTGTTTAGTATGTGACAAATGTATTTATTGCATGATCATAGTTTTCCATTGTAAACCTAATATGAACACTTTCTTTTCTCATTTGTCGTGTGCTGTGGAATTTGATTTCTTTACTTTTTTGGCATTCATTTCCTCATTAGACACTGAAAGAGTTTTACCAGGTAAGGCATTATTTCACTGCATTTTCTTTTAGCCAAGAAGTAGTTGTAACATATAAATATGTACATGTATATGTATATATGTATACATTTTTCTTGCTAGACTATTTTATTTGTTTTGTCTCCCATATATTTAAAGGCACTTGTTTTGAAAAAATTCATGTTAAAATGTTATACATGCCACTTTTTTCCAGGAAGTGCAGAGCTGTACTGTTGACTTAGGTATTACAGCAGACAGCTCCAATCATCCAGACAACAAGCACAAGAACAGATACGTCAATATTGTAGCTTGTAAGTACGTTCTTTACTCAGCTGACTGCAACGTCATCAGTGCTGTCCCGTTTTGACTGATATCCTCACGTCATTTGCCGATGGACCTCAGTGGGGGTGTTACAAGGCCTGTGTGATCAGGGAGAGAATTTTCTGCCTGCTAATACTAGCATTACACTAAGGTCACATCAGCACATGCTGCCATCCATGCCATGGGTTTCCTTCATACACAAGGAGCTCCAGTTTTAATCCAGTCCTTTCCTCAAGCCCCATAGACTGTATTTCTCTAACTGAGGTTTCAGCCATTGTTTGTAGTCTACAGTCTGACTTCTTAGGATCCACTTGCTCTTAATGAAGTTATGAACCTGCTGAGCTTCTCTTGACTTCGTCTTTCTGCTCCTACCTGCACTTGCTTTCACCCTTTCTTGGAATTCTTCCTGGGTTTGGCAAGGGATCTGCTAAAGATACTCTTTTCATTCCTCCCTCTGACGTTTTCTTACCTGCATTTCCCCTCATCCTTGAGCAGCATTGACTCTTCCATCCTTAACGCGGTTTTATGTCTTTCTTTATTTTGGGGGTGGAGGGTGGGGGGGAGGAAAAAAGTTTTATTTCTGAATTTCATGCTTCAAAATCAGATCATAATTTTATGAACTTGTCCTTTAGGATACTCAGTATTTGATTTGGGCGGTATCTGATCTGAACTTAATTGAGGAAATACAAATTGGCTACTTTGCTTATAAGCACTGAAAAGTAACTTGCTCTTGGGGTTAAACGTGCTAAAGATTACTTTGCATAAATAATCCTGGGTCACACTTAATCATCAGCTACTTGCAGGATTTGATAAAGCCAAAATGAGTCTTTGGGTTTAAAAAGGTCAGGGAGAGAATCTTATGCTGCATCTTACATCTCTTTTTAAAAACAGGAAATGCAATTACAGCTTAAAACCTTTCATTATTAAAACTCAATACAATAAATTTACTTTGTATGGGTCACAATCACATCAGTTACATCGATGCACTGGCTCTTAAGCACAAGGGCAATTTTTAAAAACTGGAGACCTTTAAAATTAGGCCATAGTATAAAAAACGGTTCATGGTCTTATATTCAGCAAATTCACACTACAAAAAGTCTCTTTTTGTAGAATAAAGGCCAGGAAAACTTTACATATGCTACAAACTCATTACATATATTTACATGGCTCTTTTCTTCCCTATGTATTTAATTTTCACCCACACAACTAACTCCCTGCTTCAAGCAAGCTTTGTAGGCTCGAGGCCAGATCACCTCAGGAGCTGTGGAAGATGCTAGTGAATAAAAACGTTATTTGAAAGCTATTCACTATTTGTTTTTGGAAAAGATTTGGTGTATAAATGCCTATCCACTGGATTTAAGAAATTTTAGGCTGTCTACTTGGCCTCATTCTAATAAGCTCCAATTGCCCTTTACAGATTTACACTGTACAACTTAAGATGCAGCTATTTTATAAGATGCCCATGATGTTATGGTCTGGGTGTCCCTAGAACATTTAACTGAACTATGCACCTTGTTTGGAGTCTTTGTATATCTTAGCTAAATGCTTATTATCTGATTTTTTTCCCCTGTTTTCCTGCTAGATGATAAAGCTGATTACTGTTCGCGAAATCTAAGCTTGAATTTAGCTAGCAAAACTACCAAGTAGAATTAGTTAAACTATCCCTACACTATTATAATATAGTGCACACAGGACATAAATCAAATGTCTGCTTATACTTGTAAACTAGAACTTTTATAAAAATTCCCTAAAGTCAAATCAACTGATGGCTACGTATGAATATCACAGAATTTAAGATTTTAAACCTGTACTTTAAGTAGGGTTTTAAGTTGAAATGTCATTATTTCCTTATCTGAAGGGTTCAATGAAACAGGAACCCAGTGGCTTGGTGGCTTGGGAAGAACACTTGGTGATGGTGGTTCACTAAATTTGGCTCCAGCATAGTTGTGGTTAACTTGAGACTTAAAAAGCAAGCTCGGTCTTGATAAGCTAGCATTCCAATTTGGGTTGTTAGAAAGGCTCTTGTTCTTTCCCCCATTCTGCATGGCCTGCCATGCAGCTGCCGATGGAGCATACCCTTGTCCTCTTTCTTTTTTCTTTTGGACGATCTTCATCTGGGACTTCTGGTTCTTCGTCTTCTGTCTGTTGTACTGTTGTTGGTTCTTACTAACATTTCTAGATTGAGGGGCTGGAGTGTTATACCTCTCCCTACCTCCCACCTTCAGCTTCTTTGTCACCTTTCAGTCTGCTTTTCAGACTGCAGGATCTCCACTCCTCGTCCTCTTCCTTGCTGCCAAGCCCAGGATAAGAGATGTTGCTTCCCGCTAGATCCTTTCCGTTGTCTCAATACATAAGTTTTCATGAGCCAATCTGCTGATTTCAGCCTAGGCGCTGAGACCAACATCGAGTCTTCTCAGCACACAAGTTTGAGAGAAGTCCTAGCGACTTCGAGTTGGCAGCGGCGGCCGACGACTCCCTCTCGATCCCCAAACCTCTCTCCCTTCCCAGGGAGAAACGATGCACGGATCAAACACTGCCCAGGAGCGAGTCACACATCACAGTTCCGTCTTCGACCAACCTTCTCCTGCCTTCACTGACAAAATGCACGGTTTTGTCTCTATCTTCCTTCTATCTCCATCTTTCTTCACTCTTGTTATAGCACTTGTTCCTCCCATCTTCACTCCCGTTCAGATCCACTCTCTGTCTCTCATTAGAAAATAACAGGCTGGGCTGGAGAGATGGCTCAGAGGTTAAGAGCACTGACTGCTCTTCCAGAGGTCCTGAGTTCAATTCCCAGCAACCACATGGTAGCTCACAACCATCTGTGATGAGATCTGGCGCCCTCTTCTGGCCTGCAGTCATACATGCTGTATACATAATAAATAAATAAATCTTTAAAAAAAAAAAGACTTCTAAGAGGTAAGAACAAAACATAACAAAATAAAACAGAATAAGGTAAAGCAAAAACCATGACATTCAATTTGCACAAGGCCTAATCTAGTCCCATGGGGAATCGGGACGGGTCCCTGGTGCATGAGCAGGCTTTTTGGAGCCCAGTGCCTAAGGTGTAATACCTTGCTGCAGCCTTGGTGCAGGGGCAGGGACTTGGATCTGTCTCAGCTGAATGTACCAGGCCCTGCTGACTCCCCCTGGGAGACCTTGACTTGGGGGAGGTGGGAATAGGGGGTGGGTTGTGGGGGAAGGCTGAGAGGCGGGAAAAGGGAGGAGGGGGATCTGTGGTTGATGTAAAATGAATAGATAAATATTAATAAAGATTAATAATAGAAAAAAAGAAAGAAATTGCACAAGGCAAACCAATAGAAGGAAAAGAGACCAATAGAAAGCACAAGAGTCAGAAACCCACTCGTTCATACTCAGGAGTCCTATAAAAACACTAGACTGAAAGCCATAATATGTGCTCAGAGGACCTGATTCAAATCTGTGAAAGCCCAGTGCTTGCCGCTTCAGTCCCTGTGAGTTCATAAGAGCTTTGCTTGGTTGATTCAGAGGGATGTGTTCCCCTGGTGTCCTCCATCCCCTCTGGCTCTTATGCTCTTTCTACCTCTTCTTCCATGGGATTCCTTGAGCACTAAAGGGAAGGATTTGATGGAGATGTCTCTTTTCCTGTGTCTGTGATGTTTGACCCTGTGAGGGGTTGATCTCTGTATTTCTCCCCATCTGCTGCAGGAAGAAGTTTCTTTCATGATGACTGAATAGGGCACTGATCTGTGAATACAGCAGAATATCACTAGGAGTCATTTTATCACTAATTCTTTTTTTTTTAAAGACCAGTAGAACTTGATTTTACTGTAGGTCTCTGGGCTATCTAGTCTCTGGTTTTTAATCATCTAAGCAGTGTCTGGTATGGGGGCCATCTCATGGAGTGGACGTTAGGTCAATTCAGACATTGATTGGTTGCTCCCACAGCTTTGTGCCACCATTGCCGTAGTGTATTTTGAAAGGCAGGGCAGCATTGTAGATAGAAGACTTTATGACTGGGTTGGTGTATGTTTCTCTTTTGGTAGCCTGCAGAGTATCTTCTCCATATCTTGAAATCTGGCTTCATGTTCCTTCCTCCCTCTAAGGGGGAAAAAGTGTAAAAACCTCTGTCCTTTCTCCTGTGAGAGTTGGATGGCTTCCTAACCACATGCATCCTAACCACAAGGTCCCTTACATTCTGGTTCAAGTCTAGCCTACAGGTCTGTATGTCCCTCCCTTTAATTATTATGTTCTCTTTGGTAGTTGGCATAGATGTTGTCTTCCTTTCTAAGGGACTCATGCAAGTATTTGCTTTTTAGCAGAGGATTCTACTACAGATTTGTTTCTTCCCCTGAGACAGTTATCCTGGTTACATTAAAAAGGAACAGAGATTGACATTTGTTGAACACCTGTTATTTCCTTAGCATTGTAAACAGTATTAATTTTTTTCCTGCTTTAACAACCTGGAAAAACAGGTACTAACAGCTCTAGTTTGGAAATGAAGAAAAAAACAATTTAGAAAAATGTGTTAGGAACAGAATATTGAAACAGGTCAGTCTGGCATCCAGACTCATCTTTCAGGAGCCACAAATCTATTTGCATGTGTTTGTACTCATGTAGCCTGCTACTGTCGGAGAAGATTGGTGTCAGGTGTCTTCATGGAATTGCTACCATTTGATCAGCATTTACTTCCTTGTCCTTGTTTCAAACCCTTCCCAGAAACTCCCAGGGATCCCTCTGCTTCCCTCACTGCTGCCTCTTCCTCTTCCAGCTTCCTGTTCAGTGTCTGCTGCCACTCTTCCTCAGCTCTGTGAAGCTTCCTTCACTCTTCTCCCACGTAGCATGCCCCTGTTCCTAGTCTCTAGACCACTGTTTAAAATCCATCTAAGACGCCAGCTTCAGATTCCAGCCTCTTTGAAAACTTTGGTTATTGCCTTATGCCGGTGGTGCTCAAACTTCCTAATACTGCGACCCTTCAATACAGTTCTTCATGTTGTGGTGACCCCCAACCATAAAATTACTCCGTTGCTACTTCATAACTGTAATTTTGCTACTGTTATGAATCATAATGTAAATATCTGATATGCGACCCTATGGGAGTGTGACCCACAGGTTGAGAACCACTTCCTTACATCAATATAGTTTCTACCTCACATTTCTCTTGGCACTGGTACCTCCCTTTTAGCACGTGGACATCACTTTCTGGATATTCTAGCCTCACTGCATGAGAAACTCGTAAATCTGAGATTCTTGTCCATTTGTCTTTGTTACATTCATCCAATCAGTATGGCCCACACTTACTAAAGTATATTTTCTGTTGAGTTTAATTTTAAAATTATGGTGCAAATATAGAAGACCTTTCTTATGAAGAGAAGTCTGTTCTTTAGTGAAATGTATTCTTTTTTGTTGTTGTTCCAGATGATCATAGCAGGGTTAAGCTTACACAACTTGCTGAAAAAGACGGAAAAGTGACAGACTACATCAATGCCAATTATGTTGACGTAAGCATATTTGACTTAAAACTGTATGGAAATTTCATAAAGCCCTGAATTTTTTTATGCCACAATGGTATACATATACCATTGTGTAATAAATGTTTTCTGATGTAATGAAAATGCAAACAAACTGAATAAATTGTAGGAGAGCCTGTGGCTACAGGACTTTAGATTAAATAATACTGTTGTTCTCCTTACGTTATTTTGTAAGAGGGAGGGAATTCGGGCTAAAACATACATTCCAGGCAGAATATATAGATATTAAGATAGACTGATAACTCCATAAGTGTAAAGGTATAGGTCTAGTACTTAGTGTGAATTTTCTCATAGTTCCTGGCACAATGTTATATGTATCACAGATGATCAATAAATCTAAACTGAAAATTCCCCATGATAGTACTAAACAACAGGCAAATGATATTGGGAAGACAATATTCAGCCTCAATGATTTTAAGCAAACTTATGACATCAGCTTTGTTGCATTCTTCGGAATGGTAGATAATGCCAGAACTTACTTAACTTCCCCAATGTGGTCAACTGAATGTCAGCAGAACTCTGTTATTTCCCTGGCTCTAGTTTCACAGTCTAGCAGTCTTCATGTTAATGCTACTTTCAACACTGAGTTCAGAGAAGTGAGTTTCTACCTGTAGAGTGTATTCATTATAAGCATCCACTTCCTGCTTCCAGGGGAAGCCATTTATGCATTAAAAGGACGTGAGCTTGGGAGGTATAACTGCTTGGAATTCCAACTCTGCCACTGACTAGCAATGAGACTGGGAAGTCACTTAACTGCTTGGAATTCCAGCTCTGTCACTGACTAGTAGTGATACTGGGAAGTCATTTAACTGCTTGGAATTCCAGCTCTGCCACTGACTAGCAATGACACTGGGAAGTCACTTAACTCCTCTGAGCTTCAGTTTCCTCATCACCAAGTCAGGACTGATGCTTCCATTTTGTCCAGATGATAGATTAGAGCTGTGTCTGCAAAGCATCAGTACAACACTGCTTGCTTCTTAAGAGACATCTGGCAATGATTAGCCAGGCTCAATGTCCCCAAGGAGAAGAAAGAGGTCATAATTCTAGCACTTTCTTAACTATAGACAACTGAGCCTTATTGCATGAAAAACATTTCAAAATAACACAATTAAGGACTAGACTTTAAGCATAGTAAATAGTTTTGGACCAAATGCCTCCAGTGCAGAGATGCAAGTCTATGGTTTTCTCAAGAGAACTCATTAAGTTTTACAAAAATGAAAGCTGAAGGGAAATTACTAACCGTCCTAGTGCTACCATTGTTCTACAAGTTCTTTGTGTAGTTTTCTAATGTTGAAAAGGGGTGTTGACCTTAGATTCCCCAGTTTGAAACAAGTGTGTAATTCAGGTAACAAGATATACTTGTGATTTGTTTCTTCAGGGGTACAACAGACCAAAGGCTTACATTGCTGCCCAGGGTCCACTGAAGTCCACAGCAGAAGACTTCTGGAGAATGATATGGGAACATAATGTGGAAGTCATCGTTATGATAACAAACCTTGTGGAGAAAGGAAGAGTACGTAGTCATCTGTCAGACACCCCCCATATCAGTGAGGGGTGCTTTTGTTAGATAATTTTATTTTGTTTTGTTTTCTAAGACAGGGTTTTGTATAACCCAGGCTAATTGCAAACTCTCTATGAAGTTGATCTTGATTTCCTAATCCCCTCTACCTCTACCTCCAGGGCTATGAAATCATTCTCAGCTGCTTCTAATTTCTGATACAGTCATTATTAGAAAGCAACAAAAATTATGAAAGATAATTGATATTCTTCCTAATTATTTTTATCTTATATGTATGGGTGTTTTGCCTGTGTGTACATCTGTGCACACATGCCTGGTGCCTGTGGAGGCCAGAAGAAGACATTGAATCCCCAGATGCTGGTATTACAATTTGTGAGTTGCTATGTGGTTGCTAGGAATTGAATCCAGGTCCTCTGGAAGAGCAACAATTGCTCTTAACTGCTGAACCAGCTCCCCAGCCCCGTAGTATTCATTCTAGTATCATGACAACTCAAAGAAAACTGTTGACATTATCAATCAAAATGTTTTATCATTAGGAATAAAGTTACCTACTTCTTCAATGCATTCTTAATGATGTAAGGAAAAGTAAGTTGAACTCATGAAAACCAATGAAGGGCAACGTAGGTTTCAATTTGTTGAACCTAGATTTGCGTGCTGAGCCTATAGTAATTCAGTGCTCCCTTGTTTACTTCCCTTGTCTGAAATAGGGAACATGGGACTAGATCACCTGAGATTTCTTTCAGATTTGTGATTCTATCTCTGGATCATCTACAATGGATTTGTCAACACTTAGGAAAAAAAGAGACAATAGTTAAAAAGTGTAAGAGTTCATTAATGGGACTGGAGAAATGAATGTGCCAGCTGCTCTTCCAGAGGACCCAGGTTTGAGTCCCAGAACCCATATGGAAGCTCACAACTATCTGTAACTTCAGTTCAGGCCACCCAGTGCCATTTTCTGGCCTTTGTGGGCACAATTCACACAAGTGGTGCATAGCTGTACATGAAAAACACTCATAGGCATAAAAGAATATACAATATTTGTAATAAATAGTCAATTTAAAAGAATACACAATAATAATAATAAAGAGTCTGTTCATGTCACTGTCCCAAATCTTTACTTATTTCAAGAGTGATATGCACATTGGATATTTGAAACTGGAAAATTACATATTTATGTTTTTCTTTTATAGAGAAAATGTGACCAGTACTGGCCTACTGATGGTAGTGAAGAATATGGAAGTTTCCTGGTCAACCAAAAGAATGTTCAGGTGCTTGCTTATTATACTGTGAGGAATTTCACCCTAAGAAACACAAAGATAAAAAAGGTAAGTGTTTTAGGATTTCTATAGGTGATAAAACACCACGACCAAAAGCAACTTGGTGAAGAAAGGTTTTATTTCAGCTTTTGACTCCAGGCAACAGTCCATCACTGAAGGAAGACAGAGCAGGAACTCAAGGCAGGAGCCTGATGCAGAGGCCATGGAGGAAAGCTGCATATTATCTTCC